CAAAGAACATCCAAATGTGATTCTTGTTGTACCAATTGGAGTTTTTAAAATGCTTAAAGTTGTCTAGTAATTACGGTAACAATATCGGATTCCCGGCTCAGAGTTTGCAGTGCAACTGTTGGGTATTGGCATTGGTGGCAGGAAAGATGGTTGTTTAACCACACCATCGGTGTAATGTCTTCTTCCGGAAGGCTCTTCTTCAAACCCAAGGATTAGACCGCGGCATCCTAAACTCTACTATACGGGGAGATGCCGGTACTCTACAAGATACAACCTCACAAGCTTTGTTCCCCTCATGTCCACCTGAACTTTACTCGATCTATTCACGAACGCCTTACATTTTTTGCACGTGCGCATGGAAAAACAATTGCTTGGCCTTACAGAAGGTGAAGAGTGACAGGTACCATGCGTGGGTCACATTCTTGTAATCTCCGCAATTCCACTTCACCAGGTACCACCAAGTCGACCCCGTTTTTTATGAGGTGAGGTGAATGGACAATTACTTTTGCCTTCAGGAGTTTGTGTATATAATGGCTTGATTGACCCAACGATGGGAGGTTACAGAAGCTTCTCTCGCCGTCGCTTTCTCGGTCCCCAAGTCAATTATTGAAACTGTACAATCTTCAGTTCTGCACCGAGCCATCAATCATGCGTTTCGCAACTGCATCTTTAGCATTGCTTCCAGCTGTTGCACAGGCAGTTAACATTGTTTCTGCCAACGATGATGGTTGGGCCGAGATCAATATCAGAACTCTGTACAATTCTCTGACCAGTGCGGGACATGATGTTCTGGTTTCTGCCCCAGCGGAGAACAAGAGTGGTTCAGGTATGAAACCGTAGCTCCCTTTAGTATTCCAAGGAATAAATCTAACCATTGCGAAAAGGTTCTCTAACTGGTACACCTACTGTCCTCACAGAGGCATGCGAATATAATTCCTGTCCAAGTGGAAGTCCAGCCGTAGGCTATAATAGCTCAGCCCCTCAATTCAACTACGTCAACTCTTACCCTGCTACTGCGATGGAGTATGGCATCAAAACGTTAGCTCCAGGATACTTTGGAGGTGCCCCTGACCTTGCTGTTACTGGGCCAAACGTTGGAGGTATGTATTTGACTGCAATGGACGTTAGTAAAATGAAGACTAATGACTGGTAGTCAACACTGGCGTTATATCTTTCGTCTCCGGTACTGTTGGAGCAGCGATCGAGGCCGTAGAGCTCGGTGTACCAGCAATTGCCTTCAGTGGAGCCGAAGGATCCGCAACCGCCTGGAACGTTGCAGCACCCGCCTATGCCACTATCTATGGCGAACTAGGCGCGATAATAGTCGATGCCATCGTCGCTTCTGGTACCCCATATCTCCCAGCCGAAACATTCTTGAATGTCAATTTCCCTGAAACTACCGATTGCACGTCGGCGTCTGATTTCAGCTTCGTTCTCTCCAGAATTTACACTGCGGTTCCATTGGTTAGTGGTACCGATGTCGTAACTTGCAACAATGGAGGTAGACTTCCTACTGAGACTAAGGTTGTTGGAACCGATGGATGCTATGCCAGTATCAGTCTTGGTGGAACAAACAAGAGGGATAGTAGTGCTGCCAACCAAGCAATTGTTTTGAGCAAGCTCTCTAGTATTCTTACATGCTTACCTTAAGTGAGAGGGATGTAATTTAATGTATCACTGGCCCATTATCATTGGCGGGGAAATCGAAATGACCTCCGCATGGATTCATTAAATTAGATATCCTAATTGAAAGTCATAATGAACCAAACTCCTGCTTTATAAGCTATACTAGGCACGAAAGTGAACAATCTGTTATTGAACACGAAAAATTTGGAAAGGAATGGTGCCTGATCCATTTGCAACTCTTCTGACCAATCTGTACCACTAAAATCGGCGACAAATGCGTAATGATCAATTATCTTGATACAGTGAAGTACAATCCACGAGTCGCACCCCAGTAGTAAAATGATATATCTGCAGGTCAGATGGGGTTCGCAGCCGTACCTATTCTCCTACCTTCGGTTATAAACATCGAACAAGGAGCTTTCCTTTCAACTATGGTATCGAGAGCCTGCGGGATTTGGTCCTGGAATCTCATTGGATAAGGCGATTGTTACGATCTCTTCGTACTAAGGCTTGTCACTGTACGAAGGCTTGTGAAGAACGCTATGTATGAACCGCGACTTAGTTGGAGGTCAAATAGGCCGTTAAAAATAGATACCAAAGACAATGGACAATTGGAAATGGGAGGTTGACTGATTGGTTGAGTTTGCATCCGATATCAATTGATCTATACACCGCCGTCTCTGCGTGGACACGCACATTCCATGTTCAAGGATGAAAAAAAAAGAATGGTTGTGCAATACAAAAGAGATCACACAAAAGACTACGACATATCGTCAGAAAGTCACGTGATATACCAATCTTATCTTATCTAATCATCATGCGGGCCAGTGTACAACTTCAATCACAAACAATCAAGCTGTAGGCCAATTGACTTACAGCATTGACCCTGACAGCTTTGGATTCTGTCCGTGAATGGACTATCTGTTCGATTCCACTTCAGATTTTCTGATCTCCCCTCGAACCTTTCGCATGGATCACACCAAAAGAATCGACCTTGCCTGTGCTGAATGCCGACAAAGGAAGCGCAAATGCGATGGGAAAAAACCACAATGTTCTTCATGCCAGGCCCAGGAAAGAGAGTGTGTTTATGACTATGAGCGAAGTAATCGAAAGTGAGAATGAACTTTGATCTCTACTCTCTAGTACTGTCAGGGTAGAGTTAGAGCTTGCTAATCTATTTCCGCTCAGACGCAAGAGAGACCCAGAAGAGGTTGAACAACTCGAAGAACAAATTGAGATCCTTCTACAAAGGGTGAAAGAATTAGAGAATGAAGCTTCTCCTGGTATCTCTACGCGTAATGCTACTCTAGGATCAACATCTTTGCCCACAAGGCCAGGACTGGATGGGCTTTCTGGAGCTCCTTCTGACCAAGAAACGCGATCGGCTTCCGCAGTCGACGAGGTAGGAAATTTGTTGTGGAAGCTTAAGATAGACAGCAACGGAGACACTTCATTTGTTGGCCCGTCATCTAACTTCCAGTTTATATCTGCTGCTCAGGAATCCAGAAGCCATAGCCAACTTCAAAGCAATCTGATGATTACGGCATCTGATATGCCTTCCTTAGACCAGTGTCTTGCGGATAAAGCGTTGCAACAGGAGCTCTTTGATGTCTTCAGATCTGCTGTGAACCCAAGCAATCAATTTCTTGATCCGAGTTTTCTCAACAAATTCGATGTTCTTTCTGCTGGAGCTAACTTGGATGAGATATTGCTACGAACTTCAATGTTTGCTCTTGCAGCTTGTTTTTCCGCGCGAGAAGATGCTACTCATATCGGCGATATATTTTACAAGAGCGCTGAGAATATTGTCCAGCAGTGTTGTCGAAGCTGTCCATCGCTTATTACCGTTCGGGCGTTGGCAATACTGTGCTGGCGGGATCTCACCTTAGACAATGAAAATACGGCTTGGATGTATAACTGTTAGTCTCATTAACAGTCCCAAGAGCATTGATCATTAACAAGTATCTTCTCTTAATAGGTATGGGCGCAGCTCTAACAACACAACTTGGCTTGCATGTGGTGAATCTACAGAATATCGCAGGTATATCACCTGAAAGCAAAGACTCACGTATCCGAACATTCTGGCTTTGGTTTCGCATCGACCGGTAAGCTTTGCAAACATATTTATGGATATCGACTGATTTTCAAAGAATTGCTACATTCAGCTTAGGAAGACAATGCTGTATACCCTGGACTCGTATCAGAACTCCATGGTTAGAGAGTATTCTAACATCATCAGCGACGCTCCCAGAGCTCGTTTTCAATTACGAGTGTCAGCTTCTTTTTTTATTCGACCAATATATGGATCAAATGTATGGTCAGCTAGGTATAGCCAGTTTTCATTGCTAATAGCTGTAGTTACTCATTCCAGTTCCATGATTTGGACAGCCAAAGCCGCAATAAACTTTTATTCGATGCCCGCGAAGCCTTATGCACCTTCTATAATGAAATGAATAGACAGCTATTGAGCGAAAGGAACGGACAGTCTAGCACCACTATCAATCTTCGAATGACATATCACATGTGCCTCATATTGGTGCAGCGACCCCTATTGCGCGAAGACTCCAATGGTGCTCTCTACTGCATGGCTGTGCAATCATCAAACTCCTCAGCTGTCTCTATTACGAATTTGCTCCGAGACTATCGAAAAGCCGGATGCCTCCGAACCGCTCCTTTTGTCGTAGTACACCATATTCTTACCGCAGCGATTATGCATCTGCTTAGTGTAACCTCCTCCAATGGTACTTTTCGTAAGCGGTCAATCACTCGATTTCGAGAGTGTATAGAAGCACTGGGAGAAATGAAGTATGCTTGGAAGCGATTGCGAAAGGCCATCGCGTTGCTTCAAGAACTTGCGCATAGATGGTCTGTAGTATTTGCACTGCCAATGCGACTAAGCTATCCTCTGCCCGCGCACTCCCAAAATGATATTTTAGGCCAACCTAAAGATCAATCATCGATGGAATACCAAATCACAGCTGCTTCGGAAGCTCACAACAAAGACGGCAGTTTTGCAAGTTTCTACTCGGCCGACAAGCTCGAAAATCTTCCTTTGAAGGACGATCTTCCCGCAACAGAAATCAATGAAGGTAGTGGCTTTGCAAATTCTGACTTCACGTTGGGAATTTATGAGATGGGTGACCCGTTTCAATTAAACGATATGAATTGGTTATTTCCTCCTATAGATCAACCTTAAACAACCATTTCTCTATCTTTACGAGTCCATAACTTGCTCTCCTCCAACACAAATATGCCTCATTTAGGTACAGAGATAGTCAACGCAGTTGTGGTATCCGCCCATGATCGTATTTTCTTTCCAAATATATACATTGGAACTGTCATCAGCATGATGCCTAAATTCAACGCCGTAAAAGTTAAGAAAATACAAGAGGGCCAGCTGCAGTATAATAATCGTTGAAAACGAATGTGAGACCGAAAACAAAGGCGCTTTTAACAACCTAAAATAAGTTTTAGACAACTGCTTTCTCATCTTGTCTTCAACGAAATGATAGCTTACCATAGCAAGACCAAAGGCTTCACTGGGTCGCTGACCGCATACATCGTTGGTATATGCAACAACGCCGGTGCACCCAGCACCAACCGCAAAATTCGAAATCGCCATAAACACACCGCACGCGACTGGCAAGAGGCTTTCATCAATGGCAGCTCCAAGACCAAATCCACCGATAGCCATGGTAATAAATGCCGGTATAATAATAAGAAAACGAAACTCTGGCTCATACATTCCACGATTACGTAGTGCCAGATACCCGACTATCTTGTCGCAAGCCCACCCCGCTGTGAGCGTTCCGACTGTCGATCCAATCAAACGTGCGATTCCGGCAAGGTTTCCGACTGCAGTTATGCTCATATTATATGGTTCTACTCCAAATATTCGAGAGACCACAGCACCGATTAGAATGATCCATGTGAAAACCACTGACCACATCAGGCATACCCAGAGAACTGCAGGGTGTGCTAAGAGGATAACTGGATCTATACAAAGTTTGAAGACACGGCTTTGGTTGCGAAACTTTGCAGCGCCAAACCCAAAATGATATTTCCAACTGGATGTTTGAGAATACCTTTCAACATCTAAGCTTCTGATCTCAAGATTTGGTGAGCTTATAGTCGGCGCCGGTTGGTCGGATTTTTATTTTGAGGAAGTTGAGTTATCTCCGGAGATATCGACTTCAAAGGAGTTGTCTAAGCCTGTGTTGCGGTAGAAAGTCGTCTCGGGGAAGCAGACAGTGATCGCTGCCAGAATTACAATCCAAAGAATTGCTAGAAGCCAGAAGCTCCAATGCCAGGACACACTGGAGATAATATATCCATTCACAATCGGCGTGAGATTGTTTGAAATCATGACGCTGAAATTCTAAAGTCCAATACGTCTCCCTCGCTCGTGCACAAAGAATACATCGGTAATCGAAGCTGTACCCGCCACCGCAAAAAAGCCGCCCATTCCAAATCCTATGGTGATAAGTCAACAGTGCTCAAAGTGTTCCAGAAAAACTTTCACTGGAACTCGCCTTGTATTACGCGCGCCGCCAATAGGGAATTATATGAACTTGCTGCGCCAGCCCAGGCACATCGAGCAATATGACGACCGCAGTAAAACCAGGCACAAGAACCGGTCCGAGTGACCCGGCTGCACATGCCCCGAAAATAATAGTCGAGAAGAGGAGTCCTTTCTTATATCGAGGCCAGTTCAATGGATCTAATGGCGAGTCGGATGGCTTGGGAACAAGGAAAAGTCGCGTCTCGACTCCGTCTGGGTCAGATGCATTGCACAAATTTTCTAGGAGATTCGTTCCAGATGGGATTGCGCTTGACACTGGCTCCAAAATGCCGAAAGCCATTTGGATTTTACTTTTAAAGAACAGATGGGCAATTTGCTCACTAATGGAGCTGTTTCAACTTTCTTCGAAATGTGAAGATAATGAAAAGGAATGGATACATGTTTCTAGAGCAAACCACTGCGTCTTCTTATATCTTAAATCCATTTCAGTCTATCTAGACTTTTGATATCCAATATATGCCATTAATTTCATCTTATCAAGTGGCTTGGTTGATGTGATTTTAGTCCTATCAGACAATCAGGCGGCTCCAACATGCCGCCGCGATAGCTTCATGTCATGGCATTATCCGAGGTTCAGCCGATATACAACTAACCAACCACCAGTGAACCAATTCATCGGAGGTAATATCTTCATATCTTATACAATTTAGCATTTGCCCACGAGAAATTATAAATAGGCAACTATTTATCTTTCCTAAAGAGTTTTGTATTCACGGAAATAACACAACTTTCGGTACAATTCAGCAACAATTCAGCAATAATGACCCAAATACCGATACCACCCAGATATGTACGAGTTGCAGTGACACAATTTGAGCCTATTTGGCTTGACTTGTAAAAGACAGTCGATAAAACATATCTTCTTATCAAAGAAGCGTCTGTGAATGGAGCAAAACTGGTCTCATTCCCAGAATGCTGGATTCCAGGATATCCATCATGGATATGGTAGCCATTCCTCCAGTCTTAGATTTTAAGTTCTCGCTAATGATGGATAAATATTCAAGGACTCTAAGTGTTGATTTTGATCTCTCCATTGTCTATATCAAGGACTCATTACGCATCGACTCACCCGAAACTGGCTACATATATACAGCAGCGAAAGAAGGCAATGTAGCAGTCGTGTTAGGTTTTAGCGAGAATTGGAATCACTCTCTTTACATTTCTCAAGCAATTATCGATCACGAAGGCATCATAAAATTGAAACGTCGAAAGCTCAAGGCTACACATATGGAGAGAACTGTATTTGGCGAGGCATCTGGCTCATCGTTGACAAACGTAGTTGAGCTGGCCGGCATTGGTCGAGTAGGAACTCTAGCCTGCTTGGAACATGCACTTCCTCTACTCAAATATCACAGCTATTGCCAGCGCAAAAGTATTCACGTCTCCCAGTGGCCACCAATATGGGAATATAGTGGAGGACCAGATCTTTGGTACATGTCTAGAGATGGTATGTTTTCATACTCCTGTTTAGAGATGATTAAGCTAATGGAGTGTCTTAAGGAAGCCGAACGCTTTCGCAGGCTTACGCCATAGAATCACAATCATTCGTCTTACATACTACAGCAGTGCTAAGTCAGGACGGAATCGATAGAATGAATACTAGTAATGGTCTTGTTATGAACATGCCGGGTGGAGGCACTTCTGCAATTTTCGGGCCTGATGGACGAAAATTGTCTGAAGACTTGCCAGATACAGTTGAAGGTTTCTTATATGCAGATCTCGATCTGGATGAAATTCTAAAATCGAGGAGTTTCTTGAATGTTTGTGGCCATTACAGTCGACCTGATTTGCTGACTATTAGTGTTAACGATATGGAAAGGGTCTTGGCGAACAGTGCATAGAATTTGTTGATAGACAATGTATATAATACTTCATTTCGTTTCTCTTCCAAGTTGTCTCGGAAGAAAACGTAAGTGCCTTGATGTGAACTTCGGTATACCCCATTTTACAACTTCAAATTCGCTTTATCGTCTCAACCGATATGAAATTTCTCAGCCTCGTACAAGCTTTTTGATCAGGAAGTTAGTTTGATCGCTAATGGCAGCCGCGGACAGACCTTTCGTGCATCGTATCATTTGAACAACTATTATCGTTTCACTAGTTGTCTTTCACTCATCACCAAAATTGAACATCTGTCTTGTTAAGTTTTTCAATCACTGATACTGTGGTTATTTCTGTAAACATACGGAATTAGTCACTAAAATTCCAATCATGCTAGAATCCGAGTTCCTGAATCATCTATCTACTATCTTTTTCCGACTAACTCCACATATGGAGTGAAGAAGCCTATTTAAACGGTGCCCAGAGACAGAGCAGGTAATTTCTAAATGATATTACATTGTCGATCAAAAGACAGTAATCGCATTTGTTTTCCGTTATCCAGGCGGCTCCAACTTGCCGCCTTCAAAACTTTAAGCGAAGGGGGATGCTTAGGTGTGTATGATCAAGAAATACCAAACTAAACTAACGAAATGCTAATAAATCAATACAGATAAGATAAGAAGTTGTAAATATTGCTATCAAGATTAAATTTCTATGGATGTCCGAAGGATATCTTAGACGGTTCAATGTTAGACTTGAGTGTACATTTGAAGCTTAAATCATTTCTCAATAAGTCATCACATAATGAATTGACTTACACTCATTTCGATTAGTTTAGAAGGACTGTTCCATTCCATTTCAATGTCTAGTCTAGTCTGGTTTATAATTGAACATTGTACCTATGCTTAAATGTCCACTCCCGTATCAACGTGGAAGTACTTTCATCCAGTACAACTAGATATTGATTCCTCGATTCAGCAAAGAATGATCTCGTCTAGTAGATCCTAAGGGTAGTATCTATTTGTGATGTCCAGCTTAGATTCCAACATGGATGTCATTCAATGCTCGTGTCTAGATTAAGCGTGGAAATATCATCGCTTACAGCATTAAGAGCTACGTAGTCACTCACTCTAATTTCATTCTCGCTAAGACATTTAATCATCACATCTGACATCTACGAATGACATTGTCCCCATCCGACTTGGAAATTGAACTCTCTGACTTAATCTTTCAGAATACACCATTTCATAACAATTTTCCTATCATCACGGGAATCATGAATTCTATGAGCTTCTTCAGGAGGATTTCATGAATATTTCATCCGCATTTCATAGTAGCCCGTGAATACTATATGTAATTTGGTATTTTTCAGTACACCTACAGGCCCCAAAAGCCCGAAAGTTACAGATACAGCAGCTGAGAGTTCATTTTGGGATCATTTGACATATGTCTTTATTCATTTAGACCAGGTCATACCTGTATTGCTTGTATTTCGAATTTTTTTGGTGTACCTTGGTGTTTTCAAGACCCAGTACCATGGGCCTCAAGCAACGAAAGTCCATCTCATAGATTTTCTATGTACATTTTGATTCATTTGGGTTCATTCGAGGTTAGAACACCATTCTTGGGCGTTCTTTAACCCATCTAAGGTTCATCGTTCCCTCCAATACATGATGAATTATTCAAAAGGTCTTTTCTGAGATTACTCAGCGTATCCCTCTACTCAAAATAACTAGATATTTAGCTCTCAGTATCATACAGTATATTTACAGGACCATCGAATCTGAAGTGAATCATTCAGTGACTTAACCCCCCTAATGATTAAAAAAATTCCTTGGCGTTGCTAATGAATCACCATATGGGAGTCCCTAATAGCTCGGAAAGTGGCATGTACTCGCCTAGGATACACCCCTATTCAACTATATCAGTGAATGTACTGCATCTTGAGATTGGTCTGACTACAAGTATTTCAGAATGACTATTTATAGCCTTAAGTCACCCATATCCATCGATATAAGTGTGAAAACACCACATTTTGAGGTGTTGTTACTGAAAAGGTCAACAGACTGATTATTCATTGCTCCGAATCATATACATTTGTATTTCGAGTATGAATATATTCTATTTCGAGGACAATTTGCCTCGAAAATATACAAGGAACCATAGATATAATGGTAAATAGATGATTGTACGCTATTTCGAGGTGTTTTTGACTCGAAATGTCAGTGAAGTGACACAGGAATACCTCGAATGACACAACATGAAAATGTCTCAAGAATTTGCATGGTTTCGAGGCATTTTTGACTCGAATAAAACACTTCTTAGCCTCAACTTTCGGTCTCCAATTGTGCTCAAATAGGACTGCTGCCACCTCTTCGGTACCTTTTCTTCTCCCTCTACATCTGGCATCATAACCTCTATGCATAATAAATCATGTTCTTCACCAGACAAGATCCACATATACCAGCGTGAAAAGCATACCTCTCAAATTCACACCAAGAACTTTACCGTCACTTGACAGCCTCTCGCTGATCTCCTCGCATAAAGTCTTGAGCTCCTCATCACGTCGGCTAAGCTCGTACGTGCACGAATTAACATTTTCCCTATCACAGCCAGCGTAGGTAGTCTTCATTCTTTATAATTTATGAAGTTGGTGGCTAAATGAAGGCAGTTTCTGACCCCTTAAGGTTGTTATTACATCACATAACAAAAAGAGTCTAATCCCTACACTTATAAAGTATGTTAGCATGTTCAATCCTTAGCCTACGACGAGTAAAGACTTACCAGTACAAACAGTATGTCTGATCACAGATGGCCTTCAGAATCCATCGACGAAAATGGCGAAAAATATATGACCGTTTGGTATAATGGAGAATGGCATAACAGTCGTAATCTTGCTCAAAACTTATCCTCTACCTCTCAATTACCACAATACACTCGACCCTTATATAGCCGAGACCAGCCTACCGTGTCATCGCCTTCTTATAGTCAGGGCTACTCAACTTCTCAGTCCTATTCCACCGGTGAGAACCAGCCTACATATCTTCCTCCCTCTAGTCAAGGCTACTCCTACACCAGTCAAACCTATGACACCAGTCACGGCTATGGCACTAATCAGGGCTACTCTGGCGCAAGTCAAGACTACTCTACCCAGTCCGCCCTTCAGAGTCAGATGTCTAGCATGAATGTCGGCACATCATACATGCAAGGCCGCGATCCAATCCCACCAGACAGCGGTAGAAGAGAAACAAGCTATGCTCCAAGCCCTACCCCTATCCAATACCAAACCGGCTACACTTCTACCCTTACGGGCGGATCCCAGATGTTTGAAGAGCCAGAAGAAATGGATCGGAGCCTAAGCTCAGTTCCCTCGGAAGCAATGTTTATAGATAGACGACTAGGCTCTGGTTCCGGTTCGGGCGGCTCATCGAGGCCCTTTAATTTTGATTATCAGAGTTCTATGGACAGTAATATACTTCGTTGTCCCTTTTAAATACCGGTTGTTGATCCCGGAACCCATGTATCTGACGGCAGTGGAGCTACACGCACATGCAATGCAGTAGCGGAAAAAGATATTAGATACTGCACAACGCATAGGAACGCTAGGCCACTTCAGATGTATTGCCAGACAATTTTAAGGGAGGAACAGGAGTACACTACAGACTCTGCTCGAAATTCAAGAGGTTTGGAACCAAAACTCAAGCAAATGGTAAGGCTGCCATCGGGAGCTTTTGATAATCCACGATGTGGCAACCCAGTGATCACCCAGCAGTTCTACTGTCTAAACTGTCGGCCTGATTTAGTACAATGTTCTTTCCAAGTTGCAAATCCGAATGCACGTCTATGCGACAGAGTAGGTCAACCAGAACTCGATCCACTTAATGCGTCGATTTGGCCTCGCGTTTACCAGAATTTCTGGAACTGTCCAGATCACAAAACGCGTATTAATCAGGGACCATACCCTCCTCCTGCTCGAAGGTTCTCATCTACTTCATACGGAGATCCAGAGCCGGGTTTGGAGATAGAGGAACCTGCACTATTTAAACAACTCCCAAAAGGCCAGAGGTCTGGAGTTTCCCGAGCGAGTTACGGTGGAGGAATGTATATGCACAAGGATAGCAGAAGCAATTCAGTAGAATATACCAAAGAACAATGGGAGGCAAAACTAGCGGAGGATAAAGCGGAGAGAGCGAGGGTAGAAAGAGAGCGCGAGCACAAGAAGCGAGATTCGGGAAGACATAGGAAGTCGTCTAGAGAGCAGGATGGGGAGGCAAGTGCGAGGAAGCATCGTCCTCGACATTCTAAATAAAATGTCAGAGAGAATTGGAAGCTAGCTTGTGTACATTAGTCCGTTGCTTTACCAAATACAAAGAATCGTTGCTTTTATCTCCCCGCCTCAGGCGAATATCACCTCCACGTATAGTCAACTCCAAACAACACCCGGCAACACTCGCTCCTTTGGAACCCACCTAGACCGATTCAAAATCATGAAATCAATGACATAGAATTTGGTCTAAGCCGTACGCTGAAGATTCGCTGCCCACTCACTCCTCTCCTTCCTAAACCCCTTCAAGCCCCATACTTCTCAGTCAGCCCACCGACCGGAATCTTCACCTTGAAAACCAATGCCTGATTATCAAGATCATACCCACTCCCATCACTATACGCGAACTTTCCTCCCTCTAGATACCCATCCTGCGTAATGAAATCATTATCACTCAGACTAAAAATATACTATATCGATCCCTCGTTAGCAAATCTCCCTCTATCCCTTTTCCCAAGAAACAAAACTTACCCATTCCCCATCCGTGCCCTCCTTCCCATCGACAGGCACCATAGCTATACTCTCCCACTTCTCATTCAACAATCCTTTATTCGTTTTCCCACCATTATGTACGCCAAACCTCTTCAACTCATCATTATCATTAATATCTAACCACGCGCAATACTTGGCCGTTGTAATTCCGCTCCCCAGAACCCCCGTCGAGCTCGCAATCGCACAACTAGCACAATCGTATTTCGTCCCCTTAACATTCGTCGCATTGCTGATATCAAAAATATCTATCTGTCTATAAATACTCTCCGTGCTATCCTGTCCATTTCCTGACCCTGAATCTCTAGCCAGAACCAAGAATTGTCCATTGGGCAAGGCATGAATTTCAGACTGCGCAGCTACTTTTGGGTTTTTGCTAGCTTTAGCCGTTGGATCTACCCAGAGAGGGAGCGGCACCACATATTCACTCAAATATAATGGGTTTCCCGGGTTTGAGATATCATATGAGAGAAAACGGGAATAGCGTTCCGTTTGAGATTTCAGACCGCCTTCTTGATTATTTGCTGCTTGGAGAAGTGTGTAGAGGGTTTTTCCATCGGCAGAGATACTGAGACCTTCAAATCCATGGTTGTTATCTCTACCAGTAGGATTATCGGCAGGTGAGACGTCATCGCCAGAACCTTGATCGGGATAATGGTAGGGAGAGTCAGCGGAGAAAGATTCGCTGCCATTACGCATGGGGATGAATGCATCTGGTGGTCGTATGGCGGATGTCATTGTGCCGGTAGAGTTAAAGTGGTAAATGTAGGGACCCTAGTGGATAGTTAGACAAGGTGAAACATTAGGAGACCGAGGAAACATACATATTCATCACTAACCCACCACCCTCCAGCCCCATCCAATACCAGCCCCTCAGCATCAACTGATACTCTCCTCCCTCCTGTCCCGTTTCCTCCAAATCCATCACCCGTGTACGTTGCCACGGGCAAATCGGGAAACCCCGCATAACTCAAATGACCCGATCCATCGGCGTCCAGCCCTGTCGTTGGTGTCCCATCTGGGCCAGAAAATAGAACCGTGTCATTATATATGAACCACAAATTATTTCCTGAGGGACTTTTCACTGTCGCATTAGACGCTGGAGTAAAAATGATGTCAAATATATGAACCCGACTTTGGAAGTTCAGAGTGCCTTCTGTATTCCTATTATGTCCATTAGTATTCTCGATATACCTCCATCCCCAAATACCTCAAGTGACTCAATCGTGGACTCAAGGACAGATAGATAAGTGGTCGACTAAGAGAAAAAGGGAATTGAAATGTAACAAACCATCCCCTATCTGGCAAAGCCCACAAAACCCCCGTATAACTTCCATTCCCTAACTTCTCCCAACTCTTTGTATCAATTGCAATGGCACTCCCAATCCCGCCAATTGTATCCCCGAATTTATCACGTGCAGTACCTGGAATATATCCATAGCCTCCTAGTGCCTGATACGTGTATGTATTTCCATTACATGTAGTTTGATTGACGTATGAATCACTTTGAGCTGCTGCCAGACCGAAGAGAGGGGTTACTGTAAGAAACTTTCTTAACGACATCACCAATGACTGGAAATCTTATCGAAAGTAGCAATGACAACAAGAAGAGAAGTAGAGGTATACAGGAACATTGTAAAGATCGCGAGGTAACATAGAGAACATATATTCTTTGCTCCGGGTGAAGCGAGTGCTAAGATACGGGATAAATATTGACGATCAAAGGATCCGTGTTGCCACCGGAAAACTAACCAATGAACGATGCAGCGTGCCTGAAGTTGAAGAGTAACCCCAGGTACAATTTTCCAGAGTGTTGCACTGAAGGATGAACTAATGACGAAGATTTATGCAAGAAGGGAAGGTCACCATGACTTGTGGCTAAATACATGCACGTTGTAACGTTGAGAGTCTTGATTGGTCGGCTCATTCTGACTGGGATATTTGGCATGGAGTAACCTGTGCATGTCAGCTTGGAAAGTACCTACCTACTTTATGAAAGAATTGTCACATTGAAAATATCCATAATTCCTTGATGCCATATTTATTGTGTAATCTGAAAATGCTTCTGCATTTTTTTCATATGTCGTATCTCATTCCCATTTCATTTCGCCCAATGCGTTGAAATTGCTCAAACTTCCTCCACCAACTGACACATGCACAATGTGCCTCCTAAATTCAAAGGTATCGAGAAATGAAAAATTGCTTCGCAAATGCCTATTGTGTATCGCCTCACGATGTTCATCGGAGAATTGAATCTAAACAGAAAATTACTTTTTTAGATAACAATATCATTCTGATCCTTCGTAGTAACTCCACGTAGGTAGCGACGTTGCTCCTAAATATTTGATATCATTGGACGAAAAAGTAAAAGGAAAAATCATTATCCAGATCGGACACCAGTGTGTCCTGCTAGATGTATATGGAAGTTGTTTAGAGATCATAAACATCCCAACCATCAAGTTTATTGGCGTTGTAGTTGATTCGGCGTTTTTGGTCTGAGGGTGAGGTTTCCGGTCGTGCAGAGTCGATCCGTAGCTCCTCATCAAGTCACAACTCATCTTCATCGTCGAGTTCCGCAGGCTTAATGAGTCCTCCGACCTTGGATAGACGTTCCCGCTCTGCGGCCTTGGCATCTCTTTCAGCCGTCTCTTTTTCTTCGGCGTAAAGCTCGGTATTGTCTCCAGCAAACTCCTTCAACGAGATTAGGAAATCCCGTAAATTAAGTCTGAATCGATCTGCAGAGTGATTCAGAGTGAAGAGACCCTCAACGAAGGCTTGAATTTGAGGTCTACAATGGATTAGTAAGGTATAATGATAGAATTAAGGGCAATGACTTACGCTTGAAGGTTAGGGAAGGCATTTTGCAACAAACTAGCCACAAAGTTTGTAAGGAAGTCTTTGTTGCTTGTATTCGGCGGTGCTTGATCCTGGACATAGATTGGCATTTGAATCTTTGGCGCGGTACCGTCAGCTGGGTGAACAAAGTAGAACATTCTTGCCAACAAAGTCGCTTGTGACTTGAATCCGGCTTTGTGGTCCGTATCGGTAAGTACGAAAAAGACATCCTGGAGGATTGGAACGAAGAATTGCTGGAAGAAAGCACTGGAAGTGGCGGGGTCAGTTTCTGCGATGTTGCTGATCAACTCCAAACACATGTTAAGACCGGCATGTTCAACCTCTCTATTGTCGTGCTTGCTAGCCCACATGCAAGAATCGATGACAAACTTGAATTGCCGGTTATCGAGTTTGAGGAGAGCTGGGAAGCAGTGAAGGTTGATTGCTCGGAGAAGGCTGAAAAACTCAACACGATGTTCTGGGAATTCCGAGAAATCCTTATTGATCATTTCCAAAGTGCATTCGAACACATTTGACATAATGTTTGGCACTTGATCTTCCATGAGGCCCTATATTAGATATTAGTAAGTGCTGGATGTATCTCCAAGATAAGGAGGCTAGAATGAGAAAGGGTATGCACCACTGAATACTTCGAGCGATATGGGGTCCAACGTACAGAAAGTTTGGTTATGATAACAGACATAACCTTGAGAACTTCGGCATCACGTGCACCTGGAACATTGCGGTTGTAATCGATCAGGACTGCTTCAAGAAGGTTTGGAACAATGTTGGTTCGAACCATCTCAAGATCATCGGATTTCTCAACGAACGTTTCAATGAGCTTGAGAATCTCCTTCTTGATAGTTCTCAGGCCTCGAACTCTAGGCATCTTGGTGGCGATTTCACCTATTAAAAATTAGCATCAAAAATTGTAAATGCGTTATGAGAGAACCACTTACCCTCACTTGCAACGGCTTCAGAAATCATTGTGCTGGTAGCCTTGTACATGGACAACATATCAAGGTAAATGCGACCGATTTGAGGATAGAAGTAGCTTCCAATCGAGGAACAAGCAGACACGTTAGTCTTCATGACATTGCCAATAACCTTGATAGTATCTGCATCTTGAAGAATTTGGGGATTAGTGTTTGCTTGGGCAATGATGGCATCCCAAGCAGCGTTTGGATATGACATCAGCTCAGCAATGAGTCTTTCCTGTGAATTCTTTTGAGGTTGAGCGGCAATCATGTAACCACATGCCTCGTAGAAAGTGTGTACTTGCTGTGGAGATAGATCACAAGTAATCTTGCGCATGGTTCTGACAATTTCCTCGATGAATGGTTCGGACTCGCCAGGTTGTAAAGCAACAAAATGACGCTTGCACTGTCTGGCAATCTTGATGAATGTATCACAGGCCATGTCTTGAACACCCTCGTGGGACTCGTGCATGAACTCAAATAACTTGTTGACGACTGTCTTCAAGAATTTCCAGTGAGCCTTCAGGAAACGTGGATATTGACCAACAATGTACATGATGTTACTGGCAACCACGGCTTTGTTGTCCTTTCCTCGTTTCATTTCAGTCAACCCGAGCAAATCCTTGATGACAGTAACCAAGAAACGTTTCTCAGTTTCTTCGTTCATTGCAAGGGAGATAGAGCCAATAGCCCAGCACAATGTGTTACAGTTGGCCCATGACCATTCGGTACCATCAACTTGTCGGGATAGCTTCTCAGTCATGATGTTCTCGGTATCGACTACGTCCAAATGAGTAAGATAAACCAAGCACTCTCTGGTTGTCTTGTACAACTGAATGGTGTCGCTCTCCTTGACGAATTCACGGACGATCTCTCCCTCATCGTTCTCAACAATCAAGACTTCCTCTGGTCTGACCATCTTTTCAATCATGACCACTCGCAAGTTCGAAAGTACTTCGTTGTACTTATGCTTTCTGAGAGGATAGTTGGCGAGGAGACTTGGGTTTGGAGCACCGGGACTCGAAATTCCGCCGACGCCCATTCCAACAAGAGGGTTGACGTCTCCAATAGGTAGTGACTGCTGTTCATCGTACAATTCTTGAACCAGTCTAGTCCAGTATTCTAAGCAAATCTTGAAGATCTCCCGGTCCTCAATTTGGGAAATTCGGATAAGGTAGAAGTGGCCGTGTGTGAGGAAATCACGGTTCGGTAGATTCTCTATAAGCTATTGGGATTATTAGAATGCACAAAGGAAGATTAAACGGGTAACAGAAAACTTACAGTAAGATGGGAGGAGAAAAAGTTGCACAAGAAAAGGGCCAAATTCTGGATAAACTCTTGGTCCTTGGAGTTACTCGAATTGTAAGTACTCTTGAGGTCAAGAGTCAAAGGAATAATCTTGGAAATTGTGGTCAAAACTTCGGTGAACATTTGAACCAATTTCTCGTCGTAGTTGTTCCCAGTACCAGTCTGGAGTCCTCCAATCTCCGTCAAACACTTCAATGTGACATTTCTGAATTCGGGCATCTCCAAAAATCGTTCTCTAAGAGTATCGATAACGGTCGTCTCGAAGATATAACCAAGCGGAATCCAGTTGAAGAATCGAAGGAGGGTCTCGAGGGTAGCCTTGATCAAACTTTCTTGAGTGGCGCTATTCAACACTTCGTTGCAAAGTTGGAAGATGGACGAAAACTCTGCACACATAGTCGTCTTCAAGTTCTTCGTCTTTGCCGAGGTCATCTGGTCCGCCGAGTAGTCGAAAACCTCCTCCGATAACAATCTCAAAATAGACATATTATTCTCGCATATCGATAAACTTGTGTGGCAGGAGGATATGATCTCGTTGATGAAAGTAGGCCAGTTGTGAGGCCATTCTTGCTTCAAGATAGAGACGAGGACGAGATTCAACTTGTTCAAGAGGACTCTTTGGGACCTCAGAGACTCTTCCGATCCGGAACATTGTATGATGAAACCAACGACGAAATTTCGGATACCTGGAACAAGTCAGTATTGCGTTTTAATCAATGATAACAACAGCATCTATTTACCTTGGCACTGCTCTCTGGGCAGAACCTTCCACCTTGTCATGATAACATGATCTAGTACTTGCAAACCCAAATCTAATAATTTGTCAGCGAAACAGCATATAGAGAACGTCAAGAAATTGTGACCAACATTTGGCTTGCGGATACGTAGACTCTTGTAATATCTTATCGACTAATAACCACGCATCTGGATCCTCCTTGAACTATATAGCATATCAGTATCGATGGCGATGTGGAACGAGAGAGAGATTTTCGGCGCATGAGGAAATCGTACCTGGTTCATTGCAGCCTGAGCGGCTTTTTGCTACGGAACAAACGCGTCAGTAAAGATCTTCCGGCACGAATAGATTCATTTGGATATATGGTATATACTCACAGCCTCACCGCGACCTTCATAGAAAGTCTTGACGGTCGCGTCAAGCTCTTCAATGGTGACAGCCATCTTTGCAGCTTGATTTAGGTATAATACCCTATCCTGCTCTCAATAGATAAGCAATACGCTTCAATATTCTTTTGTGCAGCTTGCGCTGTTACAAGAAACTTTATTAAAGAAGTTGATGGTATGTTTGAAGAAGTTGTTCGAAAATGTCAAGTTGAAGACTGTTGGACGCAGCCGCATGTTCAAAGTGCTTTGTGCCCCACTAAGAGGAGGGATTCTCTCAGCGGGCCTTGAATACCGATCGGTAAAACCAGCAGGTCAGGTGACTACACCAATATCCGTTCTCTCGGAAGAATTGTCCGTAAGGGAATTCCTCTGGTATTCATTCAGATTCCATTCAATTCATGACCTTGTTTTAGATCTTAATACGATATCCCGCAGTTCTTTCCCTTGTTAGGAATGTATTGATCTACTGTGGATTACGATTATGAGTATTTCATAAGCAATGACAGCAGAGTTATGGATGAGAAAACTGCATATACTCATTATACCCTTCGATTCTCTGCGTGTAGTGAATATGGGAGCTGTATAAAATCAATTCTCTTCTATTGTTTCTACCTATCTTTGATCATTAATTTTCATTATTTAGTTTACCCGCTCTTTCATTCTCTTGCATAAACTCAGTATGATCATCGATTCTCTAAATTGATGGCGAATGAGAAGTTTACATCTACTCGATGTTCCCCTTGATCCTCTCTCTGTCTTGGGACTACATCTCTCATTATGCTCCTTAGTCCTCTTGTTCTAAGACGAAACATACCTCTTAATATGGCCCTCTGCTGCTTGTATCAATACTTGCCTCACGAGCTCGTATATACTTAGTAGTATATACTTGTGTATCCCTTCTGCTCTTATAAAACATCACTCATTGCCAAGATCCATGTCATATATGTTGTTTCGCTCACAGCTGTTCATATCTATATCATGATAATATTCATCAGATCAAGCGATCCAAATTCATGAATTAGATTTCATATCTAGGCATAGATTACCCATCACCCAAGAAGCTTCTTCCTCCAAACACGTTCACTAACCGAAATTTCGATATATCACATTCTTGCCCAAGTACCGATATCTACCTAGGTATCTGTTGAGTGCAGGATCTTGTGGCAAGCTGAGGCTTCCATACAATCTTCCAATTTCCTTCCACCGAATTGTATCTAAATTTCCGGACCAATGAGTTTGCGTTTGTTACACATGAATGTACTGTCCAATAGGTGTCAAGGCAGGATGGGTTGCTTGTACGACCATGGAAGCCTGGGGAGGCTAGGAGTCTTTTCTTATAGTTTCTTTATCTTTCAGGTTGAATTTATTAATTACATGTTAGAGCAGAGTATTACCTGTATTGCTTCATGAGTAGCAGACCATAATACATTGGAATTTCTAACATTTCCAAGTCAAACCATTTTGTATGATTGGCAAACATCGAAAGATTGGAATAATGCAATTGTGGGAGGGAAACAAAGACAGGATTAAAGCTCCTAGTTGATTGCTGTCAAAATCTCTTTTAACGAGACCAACATATACACAGAGGTAATTTCAGCAGTATGTTTTCAAAGCATAGGACCTATATATATCAATCAACATTCCATCAAAGAAATATATGGATATGGTCCCATGATCTCATCCCTCAATACAATTAATCTATACCAAAAAAACAATCCTCCATTTTAACAACCTAACCCCAACACCCAACTTCTCACGAATAAGAAACCAATGCAAACTTCCCGCACATCAATACTTCTCTCCCAAGATTTCCCATTCGTTTCTATATTCATATCTCCTCTACCTAATACCCACTCCTCCTTCTCTGCTACTCACACATTCGATATCCATATATACCTACCTACATACCTCCTCAAAACTACCCTCACAATTTCACAACCATTCCACACATTCATATACATATACATATAAACAATCCCTCCAACACGCTCCAGCATCCCATCCCATCCCATCCCATCCCTATCTCCCAGAAACAAAAAGGCAATCTATAATTCCAGAGACCAAGCAAGCAAACAATCACTATATACATACATACATACATACTCACTCCACCATCTCCGGGATAACATAACTCCTTCCAAAATGTAGGTATTTTCCCAAGCTTACACAGTTATAATTTATACACACCATCTCTCATCCTCATCCCCAAGCACCGCTAAATCAACCCCTGTATCTAATTCCTGCTTTTGATACCTCCCAGAATACCTCAATCCTCAAGCTCCTTGATCCGAAGCAAAAAATGAATCGCATTTATTCTTCATATACTCTCTCCATCCCCTCTCTCCATCCCCATACACATCCATTCCCATTCATTCCCAGCAAGCAAATACCCCAATCCAACCCAACCCCAGCCCCGTAACACCCTTTCTCCCCACATCTTTTTTCTCTACAAAGAAGAGAAATAAAGAGAGAGAGAGGTTCATTCAATACTCAAATTGCATATATAATACCTACCTATCTACCAATATCCTATTAACATCCTATCAACATCCTACCAATATCTTACCAACATCCTATCAACATCCTATCAACATCCTATCAACATCCTATCAACATCCTATCAACATCCTATCAACATCCTATCAACATCCTATCAACATCCTATCAACATCCTATCAACATCCTATCAACATCCTATCAACATCCTATCAACATCCTATCAACATCCTATCAACATCCTATCAACATCCTATCAACATCCTACCAATATCCCATCAAAAACTCATCACCACCCTCTCATCTCACATCTTTGATTCCCAGACTAAGGAATTATCTATCCACCTAATAACCATCTACCTCAAACATCTTATCTCACCTCGTTGCTACATTCAAAGCTCAAGAAGACATACATACAAAGTCCTTCGTTTATTCATTCATGTACCTATGTACCTAGTATTTATATGCATTCATCCAAATTCATCCATTTATTTTACATAACCACCTACACAATAATTTTATCCTCTCCAAACTATCCACATGTTCCCATGCCCACCTAAGAGTGATTTTGAGTTCCCCTAAAAGATCCAAAGATACCATGATGGTTTTGCACAATGCTGATCTCTGCCCATAACAATATAGAAAGTACACATCACTCCATCCCATTCCATTCCTCAACACCACTCTCAATTTTTACATCCCTCCAAAGAACGCAACTAAGCCTTTTCATACCCCGCCTCCTTCAATCCGGTACCAAGTGCCTCAATAGCCTTCTCTACATCCCCTCTACCCTCATCCATAACACTAACTCCCATATGTCCCACCCTAATATACTTTGTCGCAATCTCTTTATGCAAGCCTCCTGCAAAAATAACTCCCTTCTTCACCAAATTTGGCAATAACTCTGGGGCTTTAACACCTTCTGGAAGATAAATAGCAGTCATCCCATTTGCTTGATCAGCAGGGTTAGGCGCCAGTTGTTTGAACCCTAGATCCGCGACTGCCTTTTTGATTTTTTGTGATGTAGCTTTATGTTTAGCAAAACGTTCAGAGAGAGGAATAGAGAGAATTTGGGTGAGAGAAGTGTGTAAAGCGTGGACTAGTTGAGGAGATGGTGTGGCGAAGTAGGATGGCTTTTTAGCTTCGTAGTTTTGCATTACTATTTTCCATTAGCATCCCATCGTATGCACCAAAAATGCAAATGTCGAACTTACTTGGCAGCCAGTTCTTGAATGAAGCAAAATACGATCCTGGAGGAGACTTCCTAGCCTTGAATGACTCAATCGCTCTACCACTATAGTATGAGATTGAAAGACCAGCTGGACAACCAATCGCTTTCTGACTTGCCGTAATAACAGCATCCAATCCCCAACTATCAAATTCAATGTCCTCGCATCCTACACTACAAACGCCATCTACCACAACCAATGTCTCAGGAGAAACGCGATGAACAAGTTCACTCAATTTCTTCAACTCGCTCAAAACTCCCGTCGAAGTATCCACATGAGTCACGGTGATCAACTTATATTTCTTTTCCTTCAACGCCTTTTCAATCTCATCCAATTGAGGTCTTTCCCCAATCTTGGCCTTCAATTGTGTAGGTTTGACTCCATAAGTTTCAAAACAATCTGCGAACGAATCTGCAAAATAGCCGGTATGAAGAACCAATACCTCATCACCTGGTTCCGCCAAATTTGCAGCCACGAGATCCCATCCAAGAGTACCGGAACCGGAAATGACGAGGGGTTGGGAAGAGGGATCGGTAGATTGGAAGAGCTTGCGTAGCATAGAGAGAGTTTCGCCGAAGACTGCTACGAATGGGGCACTGACGTGACTTTCACTGTGTTATTTGAGAGTTTGTCAGTGAGATTTTTCATTCAAAGCCCCCGATCAATTTAGTTATGATAATAAGTAAATACATACCTATAATGGCTCATAGACTGCAAGACAGCATCATCAAACTCAATTGGGCCCGGAATGAGCAAAGTAGGATGAGCTTGTTGAGTCGACATTTTGATATTATTTTCTTGAGCTTGTGTGGAATTACTGAAGCTTCTCAATGGTGTTGTAGATACCGAATTGGTAGAGTTGTCGAGTAAATTGGGATTTATCTGTCGTGCAATAGCAGACAGTCGAGCTTGAGGAGCCACGATTTGAGGAATGGCGGGGTAAGACACCCGTCTGAAAGGCAGCTTAGAAATGGGTTCGTTCCGTTATTATCCGATTGGACCAAATGATTGAAGCTCTGTTAGACAAGAATGATGGTTCTGGTGGTTCTTGGTAAGAAATGCTTGAGTTTGGGTGCTACAATCAGTCGGAGTAATGGCAATGAGGAGTGTCTTTGGGATTTCTTAACCCAAAGAGGCGGTGATGACCGTCAATTGTTTGCATAAATACTAACCGTTCGTTTCATAACTTCATAAACCTCATAAACCTCATAAACTTCATAAACTTCATAAAAACGCATACTCTTTAACTCCGAGGTCGGGGATTTCTTCGGGGACTCCCTTCAATCAACTAGGTACCTACTACCCACAGAGTATGTAACTACCTTGTAGACTCCATCAATGCCTTTAAACCCCCTGTTCTCCCCTCAACCCCAACCCTTTACAAATCCCCAGCAATTTTACTTCAAACCCTCAAAATATGTATTACCATCATACAATAAGAGAAGAGTAATCTATTCGACATAACTTTCCCCTTCCAATGCAAAAGTATCCATTGCTATCTATGCGCGCTGTGTAGCTCGTGAGATATGGATAAAACACGATGAACTCCTTCCAATGCTTTTTGGTTCTCATCATACCATACCATGATCTGCTAATCGTAACATTCATTCCCCCTTCCCATTCCATTTGGTTCATATCCTTTTCTTCCTCTGTCCACTTTTATAAACCACTTCGCTTCATACATAATTACAGTAGAGTGAGATTTCTCCAAACATATGTACCATACCCATATATACACCTCATTCCTCCAAATCATGCCTTCTCAATAACCTCTACTTTTTCTTTGTCTGAAAGACCTTCTTGACCTTCATCCTAAGAGGTTTCGCTGGTTGAGCCGCATGTTTCACCGCCGCGATCTTCTTTGCCTCCTTAGTCGTCCTCTTTCCAATATCCCATCCCCAGCCCCTCAAGGTCCTCACAACCTTCGGGGTCACCGCCGCCGTCAAGGGTACTCTAATAAAAATAAACGATTTATGAATCGCGTAGGCGAGAGCCAATTGAGTGCCCAGACTAGCATCTCTTTTGTTGCGCTCTTCTGCTTCTTCTACACCCCATCCTGCCATTTCGACCCCGTCGCCAAGCTTGTCGGATCCAGTAACGTCTTGCGAGGCTTTTTTCATGGCGACACGCCATTCGTGGAAAGTGGTTTTGATGGACTCGGGAATTATAGATTTGACGGAGGAGGTTATTGTGTGTTCCCATTCACCTGTGATGGTGTGTTAGCCGGCTGCTTGGATTGGGCTTCAAAGAATATTAGACAGAGGATAGAGCTCCGTCTAAGCTATTCATTCATGGAAAACATAATCAAATCCCGCGCATATACAACTCCCAATGTAACCACCCAACTCAGTTCGAAAGAAAAAAAGAGACATTTCACTTACCAATTCTATCCGTTCCCAGCGTCCTGACCAACAGATAGCAAAATGGAAAATCCGCTGCAGATAAAAAGATATAAACTCCCACCACACTCCACCCATATTCTCTACTCAACTTCTTCATTCTCCCTGATAAACTAGTTTCATCCCCCACATTTTCAGGCTTTGCTTCTCCGTTCCTCCTCGGTCTTGAATTATGAAAGTATCTATTTGTCCTTGTGCGAAGACGTTGGAACAATGTTTCCGAAGTTGGTCTCGGATTCGATGAAAATGTAAAATTGGTAGTCTGCGGACGAGATTTTGAGCGGAGAGAATTTATAGGAGTAGAGGAAGATGTGACTATTGTTCGCTGCGGCAGCTTGCGCAGAATATCTGATCTTGTAGGTGTCGTATTTTGAATCGTGGTTCGAGAGGCTGTGATGAACTGGCGCATTTCACCAGCCCTCAATCCTGATATTGTTGCGCGGAACATAGTTGCGCTTTGGTGTTTCCTCCTACCGCAACGAGGATCGGATGATGAGTCGTTTCTTTTTCTACTCGCATGCAACTACCATCAAGATTCCAAACTCGCTCTCAATTGTGTTCTCTCTTCCTCGTCAAATATCCTCGCAGTCTCAAAAGGAGGGGTCCCAACAACCGGATTCGTTTACTGTGTCCGGAAAATCCGTTCGCAAGTGCCGATTCCTGTACGACTAGATTCGTAAGAAGCTGACGGCTCTATTAATAATCTCAGACTCTTCTTGCAATTCAATAATTCATCGTAATGTTTCAATCAACGAACGCTCTCAAATTGTAGTTCGTTCCATTGTCGATATATTCCACTAAAGTTTTGATGAGGGACTAGCCTACCAAAATTTGAGACGGCAAATTCCTTTCACGTTTTTGACAAGGGAAGCTCCCGAATGAGCGCATGATGATGTAAGAGAATTACACGTTACGGTGGTCCAAGGGAACTTGTTGTGCAAATAAGAGGCTCGTTTCTGTCTCTTGTGAAAATTGTAAGATTACATAATGACTTACGAAATTATACTTACCCCAACATATATTACTAGATGCCCTTTTCATACTAACAATTTTGAATACCTTGTATGTATCTAGCTCTTCTAGCTAATGAAGTAGTAGACGCCACGCTGGCTCTCCGAAAGTTTATGGTTGGTAGGCGGGAGAGGTGAAGACAGAATGTCTAGATTGTTACATGCTAGGCAATTCAAATATTCGAGCGCAGCAAGCCGTGGGGGCTTAGGGGCTTACCCCCATATGGTCCTCTAAGTAGAGGAACGACAACCGGCGGCAGAGTAATCAAAGTGGTGAGTAAAATGTGTTGATAGAACAGTGTTCATCAAAGCACTCCTGCCCCCGCAATATTCGCGAATAATGGGGTCTTGACATTCTATGGTCCAAGAGTCGAAGTGAAAAATCCTACCTAGGATGAGTTGCAGAATACTGAGTTTGACTTCACTGCGGAAAGAACTCTGTCGATCGAACAGAAGAGAAAATTTGGTCATAGAAGGTAATGTATGTCTGGTAAGGGATGAAAAGTATCACTGGAAGCTGGAGAATTCACCGAAGAGCATAGTTGGAACCAAAGTTTTGAAGGTAATCAAATCAATTCGATTACAATGGTTTAAACAGTCGATATGGACAATAGAAGCTATATTTACACACAAAAAAACAAGAACACTGAGCGCATCTCCTCCAACACCGTCCCCTATCCCCTTCTATATTGTTTGAACAAACCCTTTGAGGGGTTTATTCATCATGGTGTTAAGAGACTTAACATTTGACACCAGTTGGGAGACCAGCGCACTTGGTGGAGGTCTTACCACCAGTAACGTTAACATCCCAAGTCCAGCCAGAGCACTTAGCGCAAAGAACGTAGACGTTGGTAGCACTGGAAGCGACGGTACCCTTGATGCCGGAGAGAGTGACATCGGTGATGGGGACACCGGCAGTTGGCTTTCCAGTTGGGGAACCGTTCTGGTAATCTTGCTCAATGACAACACCGTAAGATGTAATACCGGAGAGGGTGATGTCCTTGTAGGTGATGCCGGAGACGGATCCAGTGGCACCAGAGACAGTCTTGATACGGACACCGTTGGCAGAGTTCTTGACAGTGGAGGATTCAATAACGACATCGGAGACAACGTTGTCGGAACGTCCACCGACAGATCCGATGGAGAGACCGTGACCGCCGACACAGGTTCCACCGGTGAAGGTGATACCAGTACCGGAGTTGATAGCAAGACAGTCATCTTGGTTTTGGACGTTGGCACCGGTGATGGTGATGTCGCTGGAGGAACCAACATCGAAAGCATCAGTGTTGTGTCCGAGGGAGGTACCGGCAGAGTTGTCAATGTTGATGTTGGAGAGAGTGAGACCGGAAGCACCGTTGATGGAGAAGACTTGAACTGGGGAGTTCAAGATGTTGATACCAGAGATGGAAGATTTACCCTTCAAGGAGTGGGCGTAGAAGAACTTTGGCTTGGTCTTTCCACCGTTGCTTCCCTTACCATCCCAGTACTTGGCTCCTTGTCCATCGAGCTTGCTGCCAGCAGCACCGGTGACAGTGATGTCAGTTCCGGAGACAGAGACGAGAGGACCGGACCATTCTTCGAATTCGAAGGTGGTGGTACCCTCGAAGGTGACCTGGGTACCCGAGTTGAGACCAGTCAAGTCAAGAGTGGTACCGGATGGGACAGTGAGGGCGTTGAGGACGATAGTGGCGCAGGAAGTCTTGGACTTGGAAACGGCGGCGGCACCAGCAGCTCCGGAGAAGGTACAGGCGGCAGCACGGTTCTCGATAGCAGCGAGAGCATCAGCTGGGTTTGGAGCTGCGGTTGGTGCTGGTGCTGGTGCAGCAGCGACGATTGCGCTCAGCGCAATGAGGCTCGAGGCCATGGAGAGAATTTGAACCATATTGGCTAGTAGTGTAAAAGAATGTAAGTTTAAAGAGTGAATGTACTAGACAGTATGGAAAAGAATGTAAGTGATGATGAGATGAGGAATGAAAAGAAGGTGTTTGGAGCTTCCTTATATATGTAAATACATGAAGATTGAAATTCGGAGAAGCATCAAAGAAGTGGAACCCGGTTGAATCGCGCCGTCGGCTGATGATGGGTAATGTCAACAGCGGTAAACTTGACCCGCGGTGAGCCAAAGTATTATCATGCCATGGTACACTTCTGGCTCTGCAATCTAAGATCAAGGTCCGTATTCTGGTCACGGCGATCCTTGGAAAATCGACAAGCACAAGCTTTAGAATAAGGAGAGATTGCTCTGTGGAGTACAAATCTCACCACTTTCTCATTGAATGGCACATACAACAAGGGGGAACAAAAGACTTGGAAGATGAAACGAAGCGAAAGAAGCTTTGAACAAGCATGAGAAGCAATCTTGGCTAGACCCTCCTGCATATTAAAATATCACTCCGAAGTAATCTCGAAGTACCGTTGCTCCATAAAGACTTGTCAAGGTGATCAAATTGAAGCTTTTCTAGACTACTGCCAGAACACAAGTTACACAACAGCTCGATTAGTGTGATTAACTAACATCTAACCCAGAGAATTACGCGGCGAAGATGTTGGATGTTTTGAGTTGATGAAATGTCAACTAACAACGGGATGCACCAGAAATTTGATAGAAGTTTGGAAGGATTATGATTGGTGTGGTTAAGAGCCCCTGAGATTCTAATTGGTTGATTTTGCGAGGTAGTACCAATTCAAGTACGGAGTATCGTAGGGATCATGCTTTTAGAATTTCAATGTGATAGATGAAAAAAGGTGGATCACCTATTTGCATAATTACACCTCTCTTCATCCCATAAAGTTCTTCCGTCCAATAATTGAGACGATAGTGGATTGGTGCATAAATTCACGTTTCATCATCACAGGGGATCGCCTGTCTAATGACTGGTACATCAGCCACACTTACCATACTAAGCATACTCTTCGGACTTTGCTAACTGTCTTCACTAAGATTAAGGTACGATCACCCGTACGGAAGTGCAACATTCTGAACTAATTCGTGCCTGGGTGATGAGAAGTTATGGTTAATTGTTTATTTTTATACGAAAACACGTGAGTGGTCCGGAGGAACTCGAACTCGGTGAACTAGGTTCAACGGTCATGGAAGTTGTGATTGGAATGTCATTCATCGTATCCAATACGGCCACGGGTGATGTTCGATAGAATGTTAAATATATATGAACTTAATCTATATCAAAGAAACCCTCCGAGATTTACAATCTAACACCTCCGTACGGAGTATTGTCAGATAATATCGCAATAGTCAACTTTAACCCCCATCTTCAAGACATCAGGGTCCCGACTCCGCGATATTCTTAGACTTGACCTGTCGTTGAAACTCTGTTCTGGTCTGTTCTGGACTTTACATGTTCAGAGAAATGCAAAGACTGAAAAATACCTACTTACTACATCACTTACATCTCTTTGTCTCTATATGCATACCAAGATCTCCCCGTTACTGCCGGCAGCCGAATATAAATTATCAGCGTTGCTTGTTTACCGCCTCCAAGTGATTCCAATTCATATAACTCGACTTGGCTTCATGACACCCCCATTGGCATCGCATAAGCTTTTGCCAAGTTTTTTGCTAGCCACCGAAGATTAATCTATGTGCATGCAAGAATACCCCTTGGATAATATATTAAATGTCCGCACGTGTTCCGCAACGGCATTACCTATAACAGAAATCGAACAAAATAGATTGTAAATCATTTCGGATTTCGCAACTTGCATCACACCCTATCGGCAAATAGACAGAAAGTGGTGCGAGAGTGGATTTGCTGGGGGAACATGGAACGACTGCAAATCGCTTAGAACCTTGGTTCATCAATTTGCAGGAAATATTACATTCATGCTGATCTGATTACGATTTTCAATCTGTATGTTGTTCATTATTATTCCTCTCGTAATCATTATTACAAAGATCGAATGATGTCTCAAATTCCCCATGTATAAAGTAGGAGTTATTCATTGGCGGACTTATGTCATTGCAAGCAATTTATTATACATCTATCAAGCAAGTCCCTACAGTTTATTATACTTTTGAATAAATCTACGAAGTAGAGGCGCTGAATAGTTTGTCCGTGCATCTACCTGATCTCAATCAATCTCTTACCCCGTTGCCATTGAATCCAGGTCAGGGGGTTCATGAGTCGTCTAGACCTTCCTTGTGTTTTCATTGGCGAGGGGCGTTTCATGTTTCTACGATTTTGGTGAAGAAGGGCTTTCAGAAATGATGCCTTGTTTCGTAGATCAGATGATCAAGCCGCCAAGAAGAAAATCTTTACTTGAACCATTGTTTGTGTTTATCTGATGAAAATAGCCAGAAATAACTTGAGAAGCAAAGCAAATGTGACGAATTGACTAGAATTGCTAACGTCATGTTTTATGGCCAAAAAGCATTTCATCAACATGAGCTCCCTTCTGCTTATTGTGTATGGATGGAATA